GATCATGGACAGAGTGGCAGAACAATGTGGAATAAAACTCAAAATATTAAAAAAAAAAAAAAGGAACCAGGTTTGCTGGTCTGTTAGAGCCTTGTGGAACCCCTGAGACTGTGGCCCCTAACTGCCCTTCAGGTCTGGAAATGAATCCACTCTTGTGGCTTCCAGCCAAACAAAAGACAGGCATATGAGCTGAATATTTACATTAAGTAGATACACTCCTTGGAGAGATCAATCCTGGGAGAATAGAAGGGCTGTGTATGCACAGGGAGACAGCTTGGGTCGGGTGGGGGCAGGAGTCCATTGGAGGGAAGGATACAGGGAAGAGGTTACTATGGGGAGGAAGTGGGAGGAGAGCTGTTGCACGGTGGGAAATTGCAGTCAATGTCATGAGATAAAGTGTATGTGAGCTGCTGTACAGAAAGTGAATTTGTTCTGTAAACTTTCACCCAAGTCACAATAAAAAATTAAAAAATACAATAAAATAAAAAATCCCTCTATAACCACATCCTAAAAAAGTACCATGTGTGGGAGGGGTGGTGGTGGCGTGTCCTGAGAAGAATTTTGTTGACCGATGCATGTCAATTCATTTACCTCATAAATTCCAGTGACAGAGAAGAGAAGTAAAAATAAACAGATAAATAAAAAAAAGTGTCTGAAAACAGAAGCTCTGAGCTTCAGACAGTTAGGCCACCTCATGACCAGGCAGAGGTCCCCAATAAAACCTCAACTAGTAGGTCTGTCCACCAGGTTTTAGCACTCTCTTGACGACATGGACGATGGATGCCGGTCTTTCCTAAGAATTGGCCTTCTTTGGGAAATACATCCCAGAAAGGGACTTTGGTAGGCTTTCATCCGAGCGGCCTCTCTTCTAACACCACATGCACTCAAATCACTACTCAGTGGTTTCTGACAACCACCAGGTGAAGGCAAATTTTCTGGATTATCCCCAAGTAAGACCCACTGGCTTTAAATGTCTATAAAAATGCAAAATAACAGCACTCCTATCCTCCCCACCGAGCTGTCTGTAAAGATCTCATAAGAACACACTCTCCCAATTCCTCAACTGTTTTCTCAAACCTTCCATTACCATTTCATTTGATCTCACTGCAGTCATAGAAGCTAATGGCTTCTGCTGGAAGCTTCAGCTGGCAAAAATAACCCCCACTCACTAGAGCTGAGAAATACGTGTTAAAGGAAGAACAAGTTAAACAGTGCTTCAGTTCCTGGATATATCGACCACTGAGGGTACATGTTAAAGGAAGAACAAGTTAACCAGTGCTTCAGTCCCTGGATATATCGACCACTGAGGAATTCTGAAGCTGTAAGACTCTCTGCCCTAATCCGTTTGCTTGTCCACCTCTAGACAGCTTATGCTAGATTTCATTTTCCCACAGGGTATTAACCTTCCAGAGAGATGTTTTAATGAGGTTTTGAGGTAACTTCATATTTTAAAGACATCACCCTATGAGTGTACATTAATTCTGAAAACACATGGCTGTGTCCACTGAAAGCTCAAATGAAGTTCATGTAAAGAATACATGTGAGAAATCACCACCAAGATTACCAATATCCTACGCTACCTTTTACTTTTTACACCTGTGCTGTATTTAGCTTATAATGTAAATGCTTGAAACGTGTTGGTAACTAGTAAATACATTCAGGATTAAAAGAGCAGAGGGTGAAGTGGCCCTGAAAGAAGGCCTGAGGGTTTGTGCACAAACTTGGCCATCAAATGTACATTGAAATCCTTCTTTGCTGCGCTCTCACACCAGAGAGAGTTTAAAGGGCAACTTTTCCATCCCATAAGAATACATAAATCTGCTATTGTCAACTAGTCCAACACAAATCAAACAGTTTTGAAGGCTGGTGGAAGCCTGTCTTATGCATGACATTAGCTGAAGCTCTCTGGTCGATGTCCAGTATAAACCAGGACACCAGTGAGTAAGTGACACCCAGGCAGTGCTGCTCAACTAGGGCAGGCAAAGAACCGCTTGTGGAACTGTTGGAAAAATACAGATTCTAAGGCCTTGCCCCAGACCTACTCAGTCGGAATTCTGAGGCAGAGTATAAACCAAACAATAAAACAAAAGCTCACTGCCGTTGAATTGACTCCAGCTCACGGTGCCTCTGTGTGCTACAGAGTGGAACCTCTCCACACAGTTTTGTTGGATGCTGTCTCTACGAATGAAGACTGCCAAGCCTTTCTCCCACAGCACCACTGATTGGGTTTGAATTGCCAACCTTTAGGTTACCAACCAATCATGAACTACTTATGCCCCCCAGGTACCCAAGCAAGGGGACAGGGATGTGTATTTTTCCAAGTTCCTTGGATGACTCTGATGCCTATCTCTGGTTAAACACTCAAGGAATTAGAAACAGTTTAACTTAGATCACTTGAAGATCACCAAACAAGTCAAAGGCATACTGCATCTCAAGTGACATGAAGTGGAAAGTGTCCCCCATGTTAAACACTAACAGTTAACAGCAGACAACACCCAAGGGCAGTTTCAGGCTGCCCAGACCTTTCAGAAGAGACCTTCCTGCCTTCCTTCTTCATACATCTCTATCCGGAATCCTACCTCAGGGTGTTTAAAAGTTAAAACACATTGATTTGAAAATCATAAACTTCAGACATTATGGACGATATTCTCTAATTTGGAAAAATAAAGTTGAAATAAGCAGCAGGTAGATTCCCAGGGTGAATTCACTGTACTTTCACCCTCGACTGGGGAAAACCCATTCATTTCCTTAATGAAACACAATTTTGAAAGTCAACAAAATGAACAAATGCTCTATATTTAAGTAATTTTGAAAGATTGCCTATCCAAATCATTTGGGGTTGTTTGGTTTGTTTTTCTTTAAAAACAAAAACAAAAACACAACATTTTATTGTACTTTAGGTGAAAGTACACATAGCAAATTAGTTTACCGATCAATAACTCACCCACGAATTGTGCCGTGACATTGGTTGCAATCCCCGCAACGGGTCAGCACTCTCATTTCCTCCCTGGGTTCCCCATTTCCATGCAGTTTCCCAGGCCCTCCCTGTCTTCTCATGCTTGGTTTGGGCAAACGTTGCCCTGTTGGTCTTGTCTAGCTGATCGTTCTAAGAGGCACATTCTTCACAGGTGCTGTTGTTTATTTTATAGGCCTGTCTATTATTTGGCTAAGAAGCTCTGGTGGTATAGTGAACAAGCAGCACTTGGCTGATAACCAGAAGGTCGGTGGTTTAAACTCACCAGCTGTTCCACAGAAGGAAGATGGGGCAATCTACTTCCAGAAGATTTCCCGCTTCAGAAACCCAAAGGCGATCACTATGGCTCAGAACTGACTCGATAGCAGTGAGCTTGCTGTTTTGTGTTGGTATTTGGCTGAGCGGTGGCCTCCAACAGTGCCTTCAGTTTCAAGTTAGAAGGTC